CCCCAAAACCCCAAAACCCCAAAACCCCAAAACCCCTGAGGAGAGCAAAAAGGTTGAATCTGTGGCAAATCTCTTAAGAACTACAGGTTATGCTCTAATGCGCCTTTCGAACCGTGCCTTCAATCTACTCTAGCTTTCTCAAATTTTGTAAGTAATTGATCTCCTTCAATGTTCGATACACTAAATAGTCCTCAATTGTCTGCAGGTCTTCATTCGCTCCTTCTAAGTATCTATATCCAGATTTAGACTAATTATTCAAAGATATTAAGGTAGAAAGAAGGATTTATATCAATTTAAGCTAAAACTTATCAAAAACTCAATATTTCACATAAATTTCAACCCAGCTTTGAACACCCCACATTCTAAAGCACAAGACAATGGTAAAAATCTAAAAACTTACTGTAAGAACTTGGAATTATTCTTCAAAATAGTGTAAGCTTGGAGGTAATCCTTGTCTTTAACTAGTGACTCAAGCATGTCGATGTCATGAAACTCCTCTTTCTCGGCAGATTCAATCTTCTTATACTGCTCTATAAGTTTCGAGAATTCTTCAAAGTTCTTCTTGGTTGGAGCAGTTATGTCTGCAGGCACATTAACTGACTTACAGAATAACTTTTTGAAATGATAATAGTAATTTTTGTAGTTCTGAAGGCTTATTCTAGAATTAAGGTCATCGAGGGTGAGATCCTCAAATCTGTCATACTTGATCACCTCAGTTAATATCTTCAGAGATAAGGTCAGCTTTTGAGAGCTATGCTCAACCTCAGATTTATTAGGAATCCCCTTCTCTAAGATATTGCCAAAGGAAGTCTCAGCATTCTTTACAAGTGAGTGAGGCAGCTTCATGATATTTGAGTGGTGAGGAAGTTCTTGAATAGCTTTCTTCGCATCATCATAACTTAGAGGAGCTTTATTTTGGTAAATCTCGAATCTGTTATTAAGCTCACTCAAAATCCAGTGCTTTTGTATTTCATCTTCCAGAGTTCTGATGTACTCTCCTTCCTTCTTAAGGATCTCATGGTGCAGGATATCAGCTTCATGTAATTTCTTATAATTATCTTCATAAATCTTTGTGTTATAGTTCTTTTTCAGCTTATTTTTAAGCTCGAGAGCTTTGAATCTATACATAGTATTCTCCCTGTTCAAAGGATTGTTCTGGATGAACTTCTGTAGGACTTTCAAGTTATCCATCAATTCGTCCTGCTCATCAGGGCTACAGAGGTTATTTCTGCAAGACTTACTTAAATCCCTTTCTGATACCGGTCGCATCGGAATGCTTGTATTCCTGATATTGTTCTTGCATCCTCTTTAGCCCATTATGCATTGAATAAATCTGATATTTAGTATTCTTGACATTTTCCTGAATTTTCTCGGAGAATTCATCTATTTTCTCACTAATCACCCTTGAAGCTGGATCAGCCAAAGAGGAGTAGTGAGGATTTAGCTCTGCTCTAGCTTTCTGGTATGCCTCCTCAGACTTGCTGGCTTCAAGTAAATATTCGAGAGTATATTCCTGTTCAGCTTTTGGAAGAATCTTCTGTCTTTGTGCTTCTTCAACCTTGGAGGAGTAAGTCTTGACAATATATCCCTTCAAAAAGTTTAAGAAATCATCCATCTCTTGCTCATCCTTTGACTTCCTATCAAAATGTCCTCTAAACTTCTCAAGAATAAAATCACAAAAAGCGATGGGGATGTTCTTCTCAGCTAATTCTCTTTTAAAGTTGATAAGTTTTTGCTGAATTCGTCTAAGATGCTCTTCATGGGTCTCCTTTTCACCAGTATCGGCCTCTGCATCTTTCTTTTTAAAGGAAACTTTGCTGGTTTCTTCCTCAAATTCATCTTTTTCATCAGTAGTTTTCCCGAATAAGGCCTCTTTCTTATCTTTCAATGTTATTTTTGGATAATTAGCTTGATTTAGCTCACGAACGAGAGTTTCATTATCACCCTTGTTGACAAACTCATCAAGTCTGGAATCAAAAATGATCTTAGCTCCATGAATCCTGGGGTCTGGAGTTTCTTCCAAATTCTGGGTGACCTCAACCCTGTCAAAATTAGTTCCCTTCTGGAAGGAAATGGTGTTCTCATCATCCTTGAGTAATTCTTCTCTAATAATCTTGTCAACATCTTCAGTCTGTTCGACTTCCTTCTGCTTGCCGAAGAGCTAAAGAAAATGAGCGAATGGCTTACTTCATTTGGATCTTTTCCTAGTTGCTTCATCTTCGCTATTTCTTCCTTCTCAGAGACTCTGTAAGCTTCGTCTAGTTTCTTGAAACTATCGAAGTATTTCTCTCTGTCAATTCCATGCTCCTCGTCAAGCCTTTCTCTCCGCTTACGAGAGATGCTCTTAACCTCCAGTTTCTTAAGTAATTTGTGAGAGTTGAGAAATCCGTAGAAAATGGGAACCAAACTGAAAGTCATGAGGAGCAGAAGCCAATTCCGTTGTTGGGACTCAGACATTCTTAACCTGTCGACTATAAACAACCTCTCGCTAGGCCCTTGCTTCTTCTCTGCAGCTTTAGTAAGGGTATCCTCTGTTGTACGAAAACCAAGGGTGGGAATAGATCCCTTTCTAATAGCAGAGGGGATCTTAAAAATTTGCCTCTTCACAAGAGGGTTTCTGATTCCTCTCTGAGCTAAGAAAGGTAAAAGAGACTTCTTCTGTGACTTTATTGAGTTGAATGATCTATAGCTTCTTTACAAATGGTTTTACCTATTTAGCATAATAAAATTATATAAGCCAAGTATCAAAAATATTATAAATAGTAGGGGTTTTGGGGTTTTGGGGTTTTGGGGTTTTGGGGTTTTGGGGTTT